GTGGTGCAAACAGTAACCCACTTAAATAACTACTGTTTGCAGTTACTAGATGGCGGTTAGTGACCTGCATAAGTGTGATATTTATTTTATTTTGTTTATGTATCACAATTTTGATGTGTACTTGTTAGATTTTAAATTTTAACACAGCGAGCCTGGTGAAAACCTGAATTTGGGATAGGCGATCTAAGCGATCTTTAATAACAAACTAAACGATCTTAAAGAACAAACTAAACGATTTTTAAGACCGAACTAAATGATCTTTAAGATCAAAACAAATGATCTTTAATAGGAAACTAAATGATTTATAAGAATAAACTAGGCGATCTTTAACAGAAAACTAAATGTTCTTTAGGAACAAACTAAAAGATCTTTAAGAACAAACTAATCAATCTTAAGGAACAAAATCAATTATCTTTAAGAACAAACTAAGCGATCTTTGTGAAAAACTAAGCGATCTTTAACAACAAACTAAGTGATCTTTAACAACAAACCAGGCGATCTTTATGAACAAACTAACCGATCTTTAAGAAAAAATAAAGCGATCATTAACAAAAACTGGACGATCTTAAACAACAAATTAAGCGATCAATAACAACCAACTAAACGATCTTTAAAAACAAATTAAGCGATATTTTAGAACCACAATTTTTAGACCCGGTTTAAAAAAATAATACTTTGCATTAATTTCCCCCCCCCCCCACCTCAATTTTTGCCAAATTTTCTCCTAACATACTAATTAAAAAAAAATTGTAACGCAATTTAAATTACTTTTATATTAAAATGGTAAAATCCAAAGTATTCATTAGATCAAGGGTCTCAAACTCAAATCACCAGGGGGGGGGGCGCAGGAGGTAGTGTCTGAATGAGAGTGGGCCTCATCAAGTAATCCACAAAAAAGCGTGATGTTGACAATGTTAGACGAGTTGGAATATAAATAACAATAAAATCATTAAGGGTTCTCAAGAACTAGGATTCACTTTCATCCACCTACTCACTGTTGCATTAAAAAATATATAGAAACATTACAAACAAAAACAACAGAAATAGACTAGTCGGTGAGATTCGACTGACACTGTCGCGGAGAGTCACGCTATAGCTATGAGAATGGGGGAAACGGGCCGGCAAATTTACACTAAACTTTTCTGTCATGTAGCGGGCCGCAAAATATCGTCTTGCGGGTCACAAATGGCTCGCGGGCCGCGAGTTTGAGACCCCTATATTAGATGTTTATTTATTAATATTCACAATTATCTCATTTTTATAAAAAGAATGTAAATATTTATACTTTCCCACATCATTTTCGATGTATGCAAAATGTATGCGGGAACGAATTTCAAAATATCTAAATATTTCATTTTCGGCTTCGGTTTCGGCCTAAATTCATTTTTAACTTTCGGCCTTTTTTGGTTTCGGCCGAAAGTCATTTTTAAACTTTCGGCCTTGTTTCGGCCGAAAGTATTTTAAACTTTCGGCCTATTTTCGGCTTCGGCTGAAATCAGAAAATCACTTTCGGTCGGCCTCTACTGTTGACGAACGAAATAACATGAGTGGCATAAAGAAAGGCTTGGTTGGACACGTGAAGCAGATGTGTAATGAGAAAAAAATTCTGCAATCAATGTTTCTGCACTGTATTATTCACCAGTAAGCTTTGTTTGATAAATATGTGGACATTAGCAGTGTACTGAATACTGTGGTGAAGAGGGGTTAATTTAATAAGGTCACATGGGCTCAACCATAGACAGTTCAGAGACCTGTTGAAAGACACAGACACAGAATCGCAAAATTTACCATTTTACACAGCAATAAGATGGCTAAGTTGTAAGAAAGTTTTGAGCAGAATATTTAAGTTAAGAAAGGAAATTAGGGACTTTCTGGAAAGTAAAGGCAAGCCACAGACAGCCATTACTGTCTGATGAAATGTGGGTATGGAAAATGGCCTTGCTGCAGACATAACTAGTCATTTAAATTTTCTGAACCTAAAACTACAAGGAGAGGAAATCTAGTTTCTTATCTATACACCCAGCTCAAGACCTTAAGATCCTAATTCGTCTTGTTTTTTTTTGAACAAGTACAGGCTAACAACTTGAGGCACTTATTAACAGTTGACGGTCTTCAAGGCTGAAGCAACAGCGGAGTTCCCCACGTCATTTGCATGCGAGATCATCAAAGACCCCCAGCTGCAGTTTCAGCAGCAGTTTTCTTACTTGGATTTAAAGGCAGAAGAAGTGAGACTTTTTCAAAACTCATTTGAAGCAGATGTGGCCAGTCGCCCAGATGAACTGCACCTGGAGGTCATTGAGTTGCAAGCAAATGACCTCCTTAGGGACAAGTCCAAAGAAGAACTGGTGGGTTTTTACCAGTTTTCGCCCAAGGAAGACTTTCCTAATTTCAAAACTTTTGCATCAAGGTACCTTTGAATCTTTGAAACAACATACCTGTGTGAACAAACATTTCAAGAACGAAATGCGTGGAGAACAATTTGAGAACAAATTTGTCCGATGATAATCTCAGGTCACTGTTGATGTTAGGGACATCAAATCTAAATCCAGAAATTACTAAGCAGTGCTATTTTGGCATCCAGGAAACAATTTAACCATTCCCACTAATACAGGTGTTCATGTGTCGTGTATCATTGTGTTATTAAATAATAACTGAATGAAATAATATTACATTAATAATCAAAAACAACATCTATCTTTTGATTCTATTTTATTTGGACATCGAGTGTGTAATCGGCCCCCGAACTGCTGTTTGATAGTTAATGCGGCCCTCGGGCTGAAAAGTTTGGAGACCCCTGGTGTAGACCATCAAAATAGAGGTTACATGCACGTTGAACATAAGGGAGTAAATATTGTTGTAATACCTCTACTACTTAGTACTATCTGACTATATCTGGACTGGCAACATTATGACGATAATTCATACAAAACATTGCGTGATACTTGTAAAGCATTCGAGATATAAATATGTTTGGCATTTCAGATTTTCTGGATGAATATTTTAGATTTTTTGAATAGCATACCGAGTAGGGGTGTGCCGGATCCGTTTTTTCCAACCGGATCCGGATTTTCTTATGCGAAATCCGCCGGATCCGGAATAATCAGGATTCCGGAATAATCCGGATTCCGGATTTTGGTACTATTGGTAGATACTTCGGTAAGTCAAGGTGGACTACTACTTTTTGTGTATGGGAATTCGCAATCGGCGCCAAAAAATCTGAGTTTTTAATTTTCCGATGTGTGTGTCTATTTATTATTAAATTAGTACTTTCGATATATATTTGAGTTCCGTTCCATTTGGATAAGTGTCTTACGAGAGACGCCATGTTTCTACGCGTTCGCAGCAGGTTATGCAGCTCGCTCAACCTAATTTCGCCATGGGGTTGGCCACGCCCCCCTTTTTAATGGCGGAAGTTGACGATACTTAGGAAATATTAATTTATTATCACTATTTACATCAAAATAATTGATAACTTGTGTTTCAGAATGCATTTAAAGACATTTAAACTGGAATGTTTTAATTTGAGCTTTAACAACCCGGTAGAATCCATATTATAAATGATCAGAATTTACCGTGTGCAACACGTTGTCATTGGCAACCATTCACAGCCACTTGCATAACTGTATCGTAGTACTACCTCAGAGTTTCATTCATAAGAGTTTGCCGTGTGCAAAAACTATTAAACCATTGGTCAGGGAAAGCTTTAATTAATTATTCATGTGCCAAAGTTGAAAGTTTAAACTAAGTCTAAACAGTATTTTAGTGATAAGGCAGGGAATGCGTTGCCTTATATAAACTATATAGTCATTGCGCATGACGGGATTGGTGGAATGAGATCACAGAATGTGGAGATGCAGTCCATGTTAAAAAATGACAAACCAAGTCGTACTTTAAAAATTCATAACTTTAAAACTACAACAGCTAAAAATATGATTTTGGTGTTATAATTCTTTAAAAAATTACATCTTTTCAACTATGCCATTGGTTTATTTTTACAAAAAGTTTAAATTTTCTTATCAAAGTCCCTACACTATTGGCCACTATTAGCGGTGCTGACTCTAGCCTCTGGTATGTACGGAATATTAAACATTAAACAAGCTCAACGCTCGAAACAATCGATTAATGTATCGTGATCGTGTGAAATTCGGGAAAGAGAATTACTTTTATTTCAGATTATGATCCGGTGAGTCACAAAATCTGGCAAATTCCGAAATCCGGTATATTCCGGATTCCGGTTGTTCCGGATACATGTAAATCCGGCGGAACCGGATTTCACCGGATAGTGCAAAATCCGGCGGAACCGGATTCCGGACCGGAATCCGGCACACCCCTACTAATAAGTATGCTTGGTGGGTTATATTTTGATGAATCCGCACTGAGATCGTCAAGGGGAATGTTAAAATCATCATCAGTATCACTTAAATCCTTTCTTTCAAAAATATTTCTATTAGTTCTTGTGCTGAAGGCCCAGCCATAGCTGCATCCATTTTAGCTTTAAAAAAAAAAAAACAGCCAATTATAAAACTCTGATTAAAAAGTACTTATTGATAAATTATCAACACCTTGACCCGGAACATGATTTAATTATTAATAAAGGAAGTTGTTTTAATTCCGGTTAAATATTTGATTGGAAGCCCTATCTGACTGTTTATAACGGCCGTCACAGTATAGAATGAAAATATTGGCCGACCCCAGTTCGTGGGTTAATATGTTACAAACTAAAAAAAACAAAAAAAAATTAGAAGCACAGTTAATGAAAAGTAAATGGGATAGAAAAGAATTTACCTGAAGTAAAATGCTGACCCGACATTGTCCTGGCATATCATGATTTCTCCTGCACAGTCATAAGAGCAGCTGTGAAATCTTGCAGTGATGGGACTTTCAACTTCAACCTGGAAGTAAAATACCAAATGAATTAGAATAAGGCAACACTCTTGCGTGGGATGCAACTTCACTGAACGGTACTCACATTAAAAAGGTGCACATTCATACAAAATGCATTAACCATGCATATTAGACACTTGCTGGGTGGATGCACAGAAGATTATGTTGAACACATATACCAAGTTACTCTTTGATATAATAAAATTATATTCCTGTGCATGTGGTTTGCAAGAGTTAGACGTTAAAAAACCACATTTTTAAGTCAATTAAAAGCACAATGCCAGACAGGGAAAAATTAAACAATTGTGAAGTTGAGCGCTTGAAGCACGCTCTACAAACACAGTTAATATGAGCTTAACTGTAACCTACATCCCCTTGATGGCCTGACCCGTGCTGCTAGAGACAGTCTTCAAAAACTGGAAACTGAGTGGAGGATGAAGAGCTCAGGTTATAAGCAAAATGGCTGCATTGTTGCTAACTTGATTCATTGCATTTCAAAAATGAGGTAAGTAAGGTAACTTTAAGTTTATCACTCTGTAAACAGTATGTTTAAAATATTAAGTTGTAACATATTAAATTTGTGTCATTAGTTATTTGCCAATATTTTAGTCTCAGGTATATTAAAGGATCAGGTCAACCGGGAGGCTTCATGGCAGTTTTGAAGAAAGAAAGATTGAAACCTGGCATCATTATTCGATATGTTGACAATCGACTACATGTAATATTCCATGTGCCTGCAAATTTATTTTATTTAGAAGAGAAGTTGCTTGATTATTTTGAGCAAAAATGTGGACATACTAATTCACCATGTCTAGTGATATGTAAGATCTGAAGAATGCCTCTGTTCAGTTACATCTTCAAGCCCTTTCCCTTTTTTGAAAATTGCTGACCGGGCCCATGGATACATACTTATAACCTATATTGATGTCCTTTGAATTTGGTACTTAAGTATACATTTTTAAAAAAATTATCAAAGTAGTATAGCATAAAGAGCGACCACGTCCGCTTTTAAATGGCAGAAGACGCTGATACTTAGCTTAGGCAAGATTCAACCAAAATATTTGGAAAACTTATGTTTTAGAGTGAACTTGGAAGGAATTTAAGCAAGAATATCCTAATTTGAAGTTGAAAAACCTGGTAGAGTCCATATTATAAATGGTCATAATGGGCAGTGCGCAAAACGTTGTATTAGGCGAAAATTCACAGCCACTTGCAAAATGGCTATACCATAGTAATTTCTAGAGTTTCATTTATAAGAGTTTGCCGTGTGCAAAAAATATTAAACTATAGATTAGGGAAAGCTTTAATTAAATAGTCATGTGCCAAAGTTTAAAGTTCAAAATAATTATTCCCAAACAGTATTTTAGTAATAATGCATAAGGGGATCCGTTGCCTTATATAGAATTTTTAGAATATACTGATAATGGACGCCATAGATTTTGTAAATACTGATAATCGACGCCATAGATTTTGTAAACAGAATGGCCATACAATAACACATTAAATTTACTGATATGCATAGTGCATATGATAAGTTACAATTTATTTATAATTGCTTAACATTATTAAAATTACTTTTTAATTACTTTTAATCCAGTATTAACTCTGAAAATAAAAGTTGTATAAAATTATCATCAAACACGAGTTATTGCACATGATGTGATCAGCAGAATGGGGTCATAAAATGTGGAGGTGTAAAAAAATAATGGCAATACAAAAAAGCTGTGCCATGACTTCATACTTCATTTTTTGTCAAGTTTCTGATTTGGATTCACTCCCCTTGTTTTTTGTTACTAGAGTTAAATTTTCCTTATTATGACGTGGCGTGTTGTGTATTAAAAAATTATTGTTTGATTAATTATAATTTTAAAATTACATTGGTTGTGTAGCCTTATTACAATATTAATTTTTTCACCATATTTGAAAATCGATTAGGTATTGACGGAATTGTATTTTATTCATTTTCTGGATTTCTATTTTTGGTTGAGTCTGAAAAAAAAATTTGTTAAAAAGTGAATTCCATGAAACTGTTTGCAAGTTAGGTTTTCATTATTTTATAATTTTTTGTCTGTGCCGGCTGAAATAACACGGTGAAACGGACCACAGGTCGTTGGGGCTTCTTCAACTTCTTGCCAAATATCTTGACGAATACATTACAATTACAATAAAGAAATTTATGTACAGTACACAAAATGTATGTACCGGCAGACATTATTTCATTAAATTTTATTGCTTTATTCCTAATTTTAGCAAACATTAATTATTTTATTTTTACACGGCCGCCATCTTGGTGGCCACAACACGTGAACACGTAAAAGTTCAAGGGTTTGGCTGTGGCAACCAAGATTAATTAAATCTAGGCAGTAATAGTTAACTAGTACTGAATGATACAGCGCTTTTTTCTTATTATTTGATTTCTAAAGTGTCTTTGAACATCCCCAACCAAAGTTACATAGTCCCATTTGTTTTTTCACCCTGTTGCCAGATTTTTAACCACCTATAAGTTAGTATACTACACCCAATTTTAAACTGTAGGCATGTTCACAAAAAGAATGAAACATTGGAGGAAAAAAATTAAAAGGGGAGGGGGGGGGGGGGGGTTTTTGAATTTAATTAGATGTTCCGTTTTGGAAAAGGAGCTAAATATTCTTTTTTCCCCCATTATACGAGATGTATAATCATAGTTCCAAACAAAGGCTCCTGCACAGGTGAAAAGATCTAGATAAACTTAGAAGACATACACTTGATTATCCATATTCAAATAACTGGTACTGAAAGGTACCGTAATGAACACAATTTTAATTTTTCCTAAATCTAGACAATATACACAGCATTGTTTGTGATGGCATTTAGAAATAAACTTTATTTTAGACCCTTAGCTAACATCTAAATTAAGGGGCCTTTAAAAAACACATGAATATTTTCATTTTAAATTTTCTCCCCTAAAAAACAAATTATTAAAATACAATCTGAAAAGTATCCCGATCCCAAGGGGGATCCTGAACTCAGTGAGATTCCGATACAATAGAATCCAGAACTTTCTGGTGTAGGCCAGTTTCATTAGTGTCTGTTCCATAGCTTGGGTGGTGGATGTCGGGCAAGTTTGACTACTAAGGGGTGGAGTTAAAACTATTTCTTACGATGAAGTATAACTAATGGTGTAACCACAGACCTTCCCACCTCGCTACACACACTCATTTAAAAAGTTGTAGTTGTACCAGGAACAAGGTAAGTTTATAAAAAATTGTTCTCTCATCTAATGAATTTCCAACCTTGTGTTTTTATGACACTCATGATCAGCATTAAGCACGCTTCAATCACCCTTTTTTTCCGCTCATAGCGCTCGCAATATATGGATAGTACCTTAAACAGACCTGTTTACTCTTACAATTTTGGCGTACAATGTACAATTTTGAGGTGCATACATTATATATACTATATGTTTATTTGTTACTATTAAGAATAGGGGTGTGCCGGACCCCGGTCCGGAATCCGGTTCCGCCGGATTTTGCACTATCCGGTGAAATCCGGTTCCGCCGGATTTACATCTATCCGGAACAACCGGATTCCGGAATCCGGAATATACCGGATTTCGGAATTTGCCAGATTTTGTGACTCACCGGATCATAATCTGAAATAAAAGTAATTCTCTTTCCCGAATTTCACACGATCACGATACATTAATCGATTGTTTCGAGCGTTGAGCTTGTTTAATGTTTAATATTCCGTACATACCAGAGGCTAGAGTCAGCACCGCTAATAGTGGCCAATAGTGTAGGGACTTTGATAAGAAAATTTAAACTTTTTGTAAAAATAAACCAATGGCATAGTTGAAAAGATGTAATTTTTTAAAGAATTATAACACCAAAATCATATTTTTAGCTGTTGTAGTTTTAAAGTTATGAATTTTTAAAGTACGACTTGGTTTGTCATTTTTTAACATGGACTGCATCTCCACATTCTGTGATCTCATTCCACCAATCCCGTCATGCGCAATGACTATATAGTTTATATAAGGCAACGCATTCCCTGCCTTATCACTAAAATACTGTTTAGACTTAGTTTAAACTTTCAACTTTGGCACATGAATAATTAATTAAAGCTTTCCCTGACCAATGGTTTAATAGTTTTTGCACACGGCAAACTCTTATGAATGAAACTCTGAGGTAGTACTACGATACAGTTATGCAAGTGGCTGTGAATGGTTGCCAATGACAACGTGTTGCACACGGTAAATTCTGATCATTTATAATATGGATTCTACCGGGTTGTTAAAGCTCAAATTAAAACATTCCAGTTTAAATGTCTTTAAATGCATTCTGAAACACAAGTTATCAATTATTTTGATGTAAATAGTGATAATAAATTAATATTTCCTAAGTATCGTCAACTTCCGCCATTAAAAAGGGGGGCGTGGCCAACCCCATGGCGAAATTAGGTTGAGCGAGCTGCATAACCTGCTGCGAACGCGTAGAAACATGGCGTCTCTCGTAAGACACTTATCCAAATGGAACGGAACTCAAATATATATCGAAAGTACTAATTTAATAATAAATAGACACACACATCGGAAAATTAAAAACTCGGATTTTTTGGCGCCGATTGCGAATTCCCATACACAAAAAGTAGTAGTCCACCTTGACTTACCGAAGTATCTACCAATAGTACCAAAATCCGGAATCCGGGAGAAACCGGAATCCGGATCCGGCGGATTTCGCATAAGAAAATCCGGATCCGGTTGGAAAAAACGGATCCGGCACACCCCTAATTAAGAATATATATTAAACGTTTTTGAGATGATATTGCACGATTTTAAGAGTTTGAGGGTAAACATGTCTGCTTAAATTCTTGGGGGGGGGGAAATAGGAGTAGATTAATGCCCAAGACAGAAGTCAGAGGACACAAACATCATCATTGTCCGGGAGCTGGCAGGGGAAGGGTTCCACTAATTTGTGCCAATGTGTGATCATGTGTCCAATTGTTTTTTTTTGAACATTAGTGACAATGCAGAAATAGGGGGTGGAGGAAATCGGCCATGATAGCATGAGGTCATTTATTGAAGGTCATCTCAAAATGGTAATAAGCAAATACGTTGCCCGTTATTGGTCAGCTTTAATTTGAGCACCCCTCCCATTTTTTTTGTATGCCAATGGGCTTACGTTTACTGATTTGCGTTTGGGGGGTGGTCTTATTTCAGGTTCTTTACTTTTTTTTTTTTTTTGGTTGGGGGGGTAGTGCCTTTTGCCAATGGCCAAAGGTGTGGCTAAGTGGTGGCAGATAAGACATACATTCCGGGTGCCAGACTCGCGGGGGGGTTGGAACAAATGGGTGGTGTTATTTTAGGTTTTTTATTTTTTTTTTTTTTTGGTTGGGGGGGTAGTGCCTGTTGCCAATGGCCAAAGGTGTAGCTAAGTGGTGGCAGATAAGACATACATTCCGGGTGCCAGACTAGCGGGTGGGTTGGAACAAAATGGGTTGATTGTATTTAATGGTTGAAAATAATGGGTTTAAAAGTTGAGGGGGGCGCAAGAATTAATCTTGTCCCCTGATGCCAAACACTGTAGACACGCCCCTGCTAGTGGTGCCAAAATAGGTCAGATGGGGTGGTCCACCCTGGTGTCACTTTTTCTTTATATGCAAGTGAGGCAATTCCAGACAACTGCTGAGTTTGTATCATAAGGGGGGGGGGGGGGGGGGGAAAAAATTTTGGCCCCCCATGGCGGCACTAAT